AGATGGACTGTGTGCTCGTTTGTCACACTTATTGTACAAAATTCAAAAATATTCTCAAGACGCGTTTAGTAATGTAGTCGTTATTGTCAGTACCATTTTGAGGTCTTACCTCCTGTTTTACAAGTACATTAACAATTAATGGTTGTTTGAACCGTTTGAGACGAGACCTCGTTATTAATTCTCGAGTAAGTATGTTATTCGCAAGTAATCGTTGTTTGCTACCCGAAGTTGTTTGAGGAATTCTGCTCTCTAATAATAGGTTTTAAATGTAGCAGAATCCGTGCTACATTTTAGAGATGAAACAATCTCTTTATTGAACAATACATTGTATGTGAACATTATAAGACTTACTAAATTACATCTATTATAATAATAATCATATCAATGTAGAATTATAAATCTGATATTGACATGATATTGATAATATAATAATATATTTGAATATTTGATATAACATGTTACAATCTAAACAATAGTGGTAATACAATAGCTAAGCGCTCCCCAGCTAAGCCAGCTAAGCGATCAACCTAGATTTGATTGAATTTGATTTAAATTGTTTATTGAAAATTTTAATGCGTATTTAACACATAAAACCTGCCTATCTTAGGTATAAATGTAGGAATTTCGTTTAAAAGTAAAGTTACAGCCTATATACGTCCCACTGCTGGGCACAGGCCTCCGTTCATTTCTGAGAGGGTTTTAGGGCAAGGAATTGTCCGCCGCGCTGCCCCATTGCGTGTTGGCAAACTTCATATGTCTTCAAAATATTTTTTTCTTATTTCTCTGCCATGCACGTTTCCTCACGATGTTTTCCTTCACCGCCGAGCACGTGGTTAATCAGCACTTAAAATTGCAATTAACAATTTCATTGTTGCCGGCGGGGATCGCGGGGCGTACTGTGAGCGCTAACCATCTGAGATACCACTCCTCTATATATATATATATATATATATATATATATATATATATATATATATATATATATATATATATATATATATATATATATATATATATATATATATATTATAGGAATTCCGTATATAGGCTGTAATTTTAGCGATAATAAATTAATAATTTACCTACACTTTTTATATTATTTTTAGTGTAAGAATACAGCCTACATAAATTTACGTAAGTAGTGATCTACTCTAACATAATCAGACCACCGAAAGATTTCTAAGCTTTAATAAAAATATGTAAAAGTCTCGAAGATATTTTATAGGTTTAAAACATCTTTGTAGTATGTACGTTTTTACTATATAATAAAAGGTCAAGTAAAATGTGCTTGAAATATATTTTGCTTAATAACGTTAACAATCACTTTTCCCTGGTTATATATGTACCTGGCTTTCAAATAAAATTGGTTAGTACAGAGTTATATAAATATTACACTCTTTTTCATGTATGCCCATGTGTAAAATTGAAATTAGTGCGTTTTATCCAGCTCTGTCAAGCCGCTGAATAAGTTCTTTTGAAATCTCTTTCGCTTATACAGAGGGGGAAGAGACAGCGGACGCTGCAGAGTAATATTTTTTATACATTGTGTGACAAAGGAGCACACAGTCCACCTGATGGTAAATAGATGTTGTGGGTCAAGACAGCCACATTTACGAGTGCTACACTAACGATTTTGGGCGACTTTTAGAACTGGCCACTCGTAAACGTTATGCCATTAATAAATGAATAACCATTTGTAATGTTTATGTTTGTCTATACGAACTAGTCTTAAGTTAAGAAAGTGCTCTCAGTACTATTTTTGTGTCATCAAAAATTAATAAAATATGTTCATTAATGGTTATTTAAAAAAAGCTAAAGGATAATAATAGTTGTTATTTAATATTTTTATATAGTTACCAAAGTGATATTTATATTATTACTGTTTTCCTGAATATTCACTCAATCGTGTGATGTAACAATATCCATCTATAATTGTAACATTATCACCGAGGGCTTCATAACCATCATTATCGTCATTAAAACAGAGTGTTGATGAAAATTGTTTCCACATAAAAGTTATTACAATCATAAACAAACTAAAAATATATTAAATATTTGCAAGAAGACTAAACATACTCTAACATAATTAAAACCAGTTAATATATAGATTAAAACGGAACCAGGGTGCTAATCGAATTACATTTCGATTAATCGAGAGCCTATATGATTGCCTTAGAAGTGAGTTTTCGCAAATTGAGTAGTTACCTAATTGGAATATAGCAAGGATTTTAGGTTCTGTAAACGAATTAAACTTTTCGCGATTAATATTTCACTTTCATTGGAAAAATGTAAACACTAAGCAATCATTTTGATATAATAATATTTGCAAAGAGTTTTCGCCGACTTTAGGAGAGGTTTTCTATTGGCGTCAATACTTTTTTCTTTTTACTTGACCTTTTTTTAACCAGTCGTACGTTTTTTGTGTGTATTTAAGTTACGAGATATCTTTTTCAACAGTGGGCCGATTTTAACTATCCCCTTTTTATCAATTTGGTAAATGGAATTCTCATCTACACACAAACAGTAATATGTATAATGACGACTTTTGATTAATTCAGTAGGTTATACTTTAGCAGAAAGAATTCCACCTATGAGAGTGGAATTGTTGGTTATAAAGTTTTTAAACTAACTATTTAGATTGCATTCTAGTCTTGAGTTTGTTATATTTCTTAGTCTACTTAAAATGATCAAAAATAAACTTTTATAAAAAGTAAGAACAAATTGCATAGAACTGAAAGTAAAAAACGTTTTACTAACATAATAATATAATAGCTTCAGCTATCGACTTCTGACCGACTGCCAAAGTACTAATGACTTGCAGTAGACACGATAATTAGTCATGATGTTTAGAGATACAAGATATTTATGAGACAACCAGGGTGTGCAATCAAAACCTAAGGTTGGTGATGGTAATTGGTGAGTATTCCTACAGTTTGTAAATTGAAACGTTAGCATTCCTGGATAGTTTCGCTGCACTATTCCGCTCCCGTCTAAAGCTAATTCTAAGCTTAAGTCGAATAATGATAAGTTTAATTTAATTAGTATCCAAATAAGTGTTTAAGCTACTAGTACCTGAGTTTAAAGGTGATAAAAGACACCTTACTTTGTTATTAAGTAAATGCGAATTTATTATTATGAAGGCTCGAACACTGAGAATAATTTAGTTATGAATAAAATAAAAAGCTCTCTAACGGATGATGTAGCTGCGCTTAAAAGTCGACGTGATATCATCACTAAGTATGTAAGTGTTTAAGTTTTAAATAAATTCATTCAGTATTTTGTAGATCTGCCCAGCGAGGAAGGTATAGAAAATCTTTAAATATGAACCAATTAAATTTTTTTATTTTTGTTCGCATATAAAATATGTAAAATCTGTTTTAATCTCCAAGGTAAATTCAATCATGCGTAAAAGTAAAATAATAATATAAAATAAGTTGGCTCTAAAACTGTAATACTAGACAATATGGTAACAATTGTAAGGTTTAATGCATCTAACTGTTTAGAAGAACCATTAAGCATCATTTTCGAAAAAAATTGTCAGAATAGTGCCTAATGTTTATACTTATAATTTAGCTACAAATGTATATTTCTATCATATAATTAATCCACATAGTCAAGATTTAAATAAGGCAGACTTTGGAGGCAGATTAAAATAAATATGCATACCACCGACAATACAACCACTAAGATTTAGTTTTAAACCGTACTTTGGCTATCGGCCTCCTGGTTAAGCATCATTTTCGAAAAAAATTGTCAGAATAGTGCCTAATGTGTAGCTAAATGTATATTTCTTTCATATAATCAATCCACATAGTCAAGATTTAAATAAGGCAGGCCTTGGAGGCAGATTAAAATAAATAGTGTACCTCAACATCAGTTTGCATACCACCCCGCAATTTAACATACAACCACTAAGATTTAGTTTTAAACCGTACTTTGGCTATCGGCTTCCTAGTTTATAGCCATCAATGAGACCACATCAGTTTGGTATGTAGTCGAAATTATATACCCTCAACAAAACAGAATGCAATATCATCAATCACACAATCTACAGACGTGACTATGAGAACTGCACCTCAACAAATAGCTCAACAACGAGTGTTCTTTCACGGAATGGAAATAAACGAATACGGAAAAATTCACCCGAAAAGTACGAACCTCCTTATTGCGACTATGATCAAGACTATTATACTTATTAATATAAATTCTATTTTATTCTATTCACGCTCGAAGATAACGCTCAAAAACCTCAAGAAGTATGGTTAAGTATATTGCAGAGACTGTGTTACATATTTATATAATGATAAATCGGGCGATGCTAAATCGCAAGTTTATTTAATTCAAGTATACAATTATATGTATGTCGTGTATATTTTCAAGTAACTTGCGTACACCCTTACCTTTTCACTCAAGTCCTTATATCTTATGCAATGTAGCTGCTTGGTATCGCTTGTAAGCGATACTCGTAAGGCCGTCAATTGTACCTTTTTGCAATTTGTATTGTTTTTCTCTTGTACCCGAGTTTAGGTGATGAATTGTTATGTACATAATTACAAGAAGCAGGACTGGTGTTAAAACATAAACGGTGTAAACAAAGATGCAAAGAAGGTTAAAAAAAAATTAAACTATGTTAGTAGCTTAGGTTTGTTTTGAGATCCGCATTTATATTTTAATACAATAATTCCTATTTTTTTATTCGAATAAAAAAAGATAACATAGTTCTTCTGATATCAAATCATGCAATCCTCCTAATAAATACGCTATAATAATAATAATAATAATAATAAAGGCGTAGGGAATTGACGACCCCATCGCCCGCTGACGTAACAGTTAAGTGACAAAACTGCTACGTCAACGCAGTCAGTCAGCGCCTTGCGAGAGGTGTGAGCGCCGTGCCTCGGCAGAATTTAGGGTGCAGAGGCCCGTTTGTGCTTATGGCTACACACGAAACAGTGCCGGGCCTGGGCGTCTCCCGTTAATGGACGCCCAAATAATGGATGATGGATAAGAAGATAGTGCGCAAGGGGCCGCTGCCTGGGGGTCGCTGGGGCGCGTCTGGAGCTGGCGCTGGACGCGGCAGCATGCGGGCCGCCAGCCGAGCGCGAGGAGCTGCACGGTCACCTAGCAGCCCTCCGCATCCATCATCCCCACTAGAAGGCTTGGTGTCGGCTGGGTCTTCTCGGACTCAGCAAGCGGCACCCGCCGCTGGTGGAGCACGTCGCATGCGTTGGTCACAAGCAATGAATGCAAACGCACTGCGGGCGTACTTTAGGGCAAAAGGGGAAGAAACTGGATGTTTGGCGTATCGGGCTAGGATGCATCGTCTTTTTGCTGAGCTGGAGCCATCTTTAACCGTCACAGAGCAAAACCTGGCAGACCGAGTTCGGTATATCTTGCGCTCAAATATATTTGATGTCGCCGAACTCGAACGGCTACGACGTGAGGCTGTTCCCTCGTCGGATGAGAATGCTACGGCTGAGGATGCGGTGGTAGAGAACCTGACGTGGATGCCGCCGTGAATATCCCAGTTGTGGTTGATTCAAACGATGATGGAACAGTCGCCCAGGAACTGGAATTAGAGCATATGAGGAGTACATTGGAAGAGGCGATTGTGGAAACGCGCAGTACGCCTCTCGAAAATCGACCGCGACTTCCCCCGCATAGCCCTAAGCAAGCGGAATCGGGCTGTCGTGAGGGCTCTGAACCCAATGCTGGTGACCTATTTGGAAGTCAGCCGGGACCTTTGCGAGACGGACTCAATTCTTTTTGGCGCCGCGCTGGCAGTCTGCCGTATCATAGGCGCTAAGGTTTCCACGGCTGGACGCGCTACTGGCCATAGTAGTGCTATCCCAGCGTGGAGAAGAAGAATTGAGGAACCCATCGCAAAGGCTTGAGCTCTCATAGGCAGACTGATATGCTTCAGATCAGGCAACAACAGGCCAAGAATTGTGCGCACCGTCAGGATGGCGTTTGCTGGGACAAATGTCGTTTCCCAGCCGGATATAACGCAAAAACTGACGGAGCGCATAGATGATCTGAAGCAGAGAATCGCTGCTTGGGGAAAGCGGATTCGGCGATATACCGAGAGGTCGACACGGTTCAACCAGAATCGTCTCTTCCAGAGTGATCAGAAGAGGCTCTATGAATCATTGGAGCGACCATTGGTAAGTGGAACGGGTCCAGCACCGAATCAGGCCGACACTGTAGCATTCTGGCGCGGCCTGTGGTCAGAGCCCGTAAACAACAGCGAGGGCCCTTGGACGGCAGTTGTGACGAGTCAGTGTGCGGGTATTACGCCCATGGACCCCGTCATCATAACGCCGGATGACGTAGCTGAGGCGGTCCTTAGGGCCCCGAACTGGAAAAGTCCGGGGCTTGACGGGCTGCATCACTACTGGCTGAAGGGGTTCATGGTGTGTCACTCTGTGCTCGCCCGACAGTTTCAAGAGGCTCTCAACCAGAAGTCGCTCCCAAGCCTCTTGACTACTGGGATCACTCATTTGGTTCCTAAAGACCAGGGTACCACAGACCCGAGCAAATACCGCCCCATCACGTGTCTACCGACCATATACAAGACACTAACATCCATTTTGAGCGCGAGAATCACTTGTCACCTGGACTCAAATCAGGTGATGTCGCGCGCTCAAAATGGATGTCGGGGTGGTGGTCGTGGAACCAAGGAACCACTACTCAATGACGCGGTCATTGGCAAAGTGGTGAAACGCAACCGTCGGAACTTCTCCGCCGCCTGGGTAGACTACAGAAAGGCATTTGACTCGGTGCCCCATACATGGCCTCCAGTCGCTCCCATCTTATGGAATTGCTAAACATCACTTGTGAATTTAGCAATTCCATTGGAATGGAGCTTGGGACGGATAAGTGTGCGGTCCTCCATGTTGAAAGGGGAAGGGTTGCTAACTCTGAGGGCATAGACTTATCTATGCCCGTCAACTTAATGGCCCTTTCCGAGGCTGAAACATACCGATACCTGGGTATGTCACAGAACATCGGTATCGATGAGGCTGGTATGAAACAGTCAGTTTGCGACGTGTTTTATGCACGCTTGACCAAAGTGCTTAACAGCCTTTTGTCCGGTGTGAATAAGACACATGCATATAACAGTTGGGTCATGCCTGTCCTCATGTATACCTTTGGCATACTCAGGTGGAGTCAGACTGAACTTAACGCCCTGGATAGAAAAGTCCGCACTACAATGACGTCCCATAGGATGCATCATCCGAGATCGTCGGTAATGAGGCTGTACTTGCCGCGAAAGCATGGTGGGCGTGGCTTTCTGAGCGCGCTCACCATGCATAATCGCGAAGTGTGCAGCCTTCGTCATTACATCCTGGCGAGATCGGATGATCCATTCTATAATGACGTCATTTCTAGTGATAAAGGACTTACCCCTCTATCCTTAGCCAACGAGCAATGGCAGGACCCGGCAGTGCCGCGAGACCGTATGGAAGGAGAAGGAGCTCCACGGGAGGTACTACAGGGCTCTACATGAGCCTCTCGTAGACACAGTCGCCTCCCTCAACTGGCTACATTTCGGTGACCTCTTCGGGGAAACCGAGGGTTTTGTCTGTGCAATACAGGATCAGGTTATTAAGACCAACAACTATCGGAGATACATCCTAAAGGATGGCACTGTCGACGTCTGTCGAGCTTGTCGCCATCCCGGGGTAGTCACTGGCATGTCATCTCCGGTTGTTCGGCGCTTTCTAACTCTGAGTACTTGCACAGGCACAAGCGTAGTAGCCAGAATTCTACACCAGGAGCTCGCTCTGAAATACGGTCTCGTGGACCGAAAATTGCCGTATTACAAGTACTTGCCGGAAGCCGTGCTCGAAAATGACCGCGCCAAGCTCTACTGGGACCGGGCCATCATCACAGACAGGACTATTCTTGCGAATAAGCCTGATATTGTGCTGATAGACCGGGCACAGTCAAGGATATTTTTGATCGACATTACCATTCCGTATGACGAGAACCTCATGAAAGCCGAAACAGAGAAACGAACAAAATATCTAGACCTGGCTCACGACGTGACCGACATGTGGGGTGGTCTGCCGACCGAAATTATCCCTGTAGTCGTCTCTGCGAATGGGCTAATCCCAGTCAGCCTCTCGGGTCATCTGAGGCGACTGGGACTCCGTGACGGACCGCTCCGGTCTCAAATGCAGAAGACGGTGCTCCTCGATACCGCCCGCATCGTCCGTCGGTTTCTTTCCCTTTCCCCCTAACCCTCGGCCGTTTGGTCTCCCCTGCCGAGGGCTCCCATCTGGTTGGATCTTATTTATTTATGTAGTTTTTGTGTTTGTTTTATTTTATTGATATTTATGTATATTTATCTTTTCACTTTAATTTATAATTATATATTTATAGAACCCAACCAGGTGAGAAAATTATATAGATACCCCAATAATAATAATAATAATAATATGCGCTATATAAATAAATGTCGCAAATGAGAATTATATATATATTTTTTTTTTTTTTTGTTATACTAAAAATCTGCTATACAGCGTAAGTAATAAAATGTTATATTATATAACTGATTAAAAACCAATGGTTGTATGATAGAATCTCTGGCTCTCTACAACAGCGCCACCTATCGGGCCCAATTGAGTTTTTGAACCTATATGGTTGCACACTAAAAATCATCATCATCGTTAATATGGTGTTTTGTGTACGTGGAATAAAAGCTATTCTCGAAAGTATTTGTAAAATGTAACAAAATATAACTGAAAGAAAGATAGAGATATTTTATTTGGCCATTTCTTTAATACTCTAAATCACTAAATACTCAAAACAAATATTTTGTAAAGGTAATCTTATAACTAGACTTAAGTATACACTTAAAATGAAAAATAAATCGTTTTGACAAAGCAGGTAGATTATACATACAAAATAGTATAATATAACTTTAAAACAAACTTATTTATGGGAAATAGTCCAAATAGGACTGCCACTCAGAAAACGCTAAGATGTGTCATCCTAGCTCTGATTTTCAGTGGCAACCTCAAGTACAGTACGTAGATACACACCCATATAATATATATATATATATATATATATATATATATATATATATATATTTTTAATGTCCTCCAGACCGAATTTCGGCCACGGAGGCCCGCCTCAAAGCGGGCTAGCCATCGGCGCAGGACAGATAGTGAAGGCGCAAGCACATGTGCACTCTCTATTCCATCACTCTCGTAATCCGATGGGACGGTAAACCGACATGACCGAAGAGAGATCAGGCGCAGGATCAACGGCTTCACGTGCTTTCCGAGACACGGTGGTGATACACCGCCAACTTCCTGACTCCGGGCAACTATTGAGAATTTCTTGACGGAAAAACTTAATAATTAATTTTTTGGCCCGACCCGGGATTCGAACCCAGGACCTCATGTACAGCAGTCACACTACTACACCTCGTTGGTCTAGAGTGTTATGCGCATGTATATATATATATATATATATATATATATATATATATATATATATGTATATATATATAATGTATATATATATATATATATATATATATATATATATATATATATATAAATTTTTTAAAATCCAAAAATCAACATAATAACATTCACGCGAAAATGGCGTACGAAATGAACGTAGATTATGGGTATGTTCCAAAATAGAACCCAGTGTACTGTCCGATGCAAATGACGTCATAAATCGACGCTATACTGGTGATTCGTTCCATAACGTAGGACAGTATATGACGTCATATATTTACGCCATATTGGAAAAGTGTTGACGATTATTTTGTCATTTTGTGCTCCAAAAATCATTATATCCTCCTAATAGAGATACCAGCAATTATTCTATAATTGTTTGTATTTGAATAAATAAAACAAATTCTCTCATGCTTCATTCAGCGCACAAACAATTAAAAAATGTTTTGTTATGGCCGGATATCCGACACAATATGGCGGCGGCACGCCAATACGATATAGTTTCATTGATGACATCATTTGTATTCGGCAGTATACTGAAAACGTTTCGGAACTTACCTTATAAATAAATATACATAAAATAACAGTTTTTTTTATTGCAACAGCGGATAGAAAATTTCATATTGGTTTTATAATACCAAACTTCTTTATAGAAAAATAGTCTCTATATATAGGTTTTTGTGGGTTAAAGTGCTGTGGGTGGGTGCGACCTCATGAGTCCGCTAGAGATTTAACGGAATACGGCCGCGGTGCATGAGATAGGGGCTTGAAAGGTTAAGTCACTCCCGTCGTCTGTGACTGAAGGTTACATAAGAAGAAATGGAGTTATCAAGACGCAATTTCATATTTACACCCTCAGGTAGTGTCGTTACCAAACGATTTTTTAATTACCAACATTATTAGCAAATCAGTCTAATACGAAGAATACATTGAACACCCGTCGTACTAAGTTTTAGAAAAATATTAAAGAATAGGAAAAATACAAAAAATATTTGTGTAAATCCAACATTGTTTTTAGAAGAAATGAAACTTGTGGA